TTAGAAAATAAATAAATAAATAAATAAATAAATAAATAAATAAATAAATAAATAAATAAATAAATAAACAGGAGAAGTGACATCAACGCCTCCTCTCAAACACAGCTGACATCATTTAACATGGAACTTTAATTTGCCTGTAAGTGCAGCCGTAAATCTGAAAAGCAGAAATAAAACCCAAGTTGAAGGAACTGAGAATGAGTCTGTGTGCTCCTTACACCAATTTCCTGTTTGGACTTGACAAAGGTGCGAGCGCAAGGGTCAGGATTATTGTTGGCACACTGGTTGTGGACAGTGTACTTGCAACCTGGGAGAAGAGAGACACAGACAAGAGGAAAAAAAAAAAAGAAAGGATCGAAGTAAAGCTTTGATGCTATGCCCCCCGAGTGCCCCCTGGTGACAGCGCTGAGCTCTTACAGTTGCAGCAGAGTCCCTGCTTCCCGAGGCCCAGCAGCATGCTCTTGCACACGTARCAGTAGGTCGGCCTGTTAAAATGCTTCAGCCTCCAGATGTGCTGCCCGTTCTTCTCAGTCATCTGGTGGAAGAGAAGACGTCAACGTTTTCTTGTAAAATGCTCTTAAGTGTTTGTTTGTTTTTTAGTTGTGGGGTCCATACCTTCAGTCCAAGCAGTACAAGTAAAGGGACRTTGTTCATGCCTCCTTTCACCCACTCCTCCAAAGTGACGGTGCCGCTATTATCCACATCTATTGCGGTCATCATCTCTTTGAGGACCTGTCAAAATCCCAAAAGTTTAAAATTACACAATATGTGTGCCATTAAATAATCCATATTGCTTCTTTCACGTTTGAGTTTCACATGTTGAGAGATGATAAAGTTGTAGATATTTTGGTTAAATATTAAAAATCACTTTATGCACAAAGTCAAGGGGTAACTCTTAGCTATAGTATATCAGATTTTAGCTCAATGTCTGTAAAAATGACTGAATTATTGCCATGTTTCTGTTTGCTAAGGTCAGTCTTTGGCAACCATCTTGAATTTAGTTAACTCAAAACATTAATCATTTATAAAACTATATGTAATACGTTATTTTTAAAGCTTTCGTTAAAATATATCCAGTGGTTTATGAGATACTGAGGTATTAGACACACAAACACGCACACACACAAAAACATTAATGGCTGCCTTCACATACTGTCAGCAGGTGATAACAAATTATCTCATATTTTGCACTTTCACATTCCTCTATTAGATTACATATAACACAATGACAGTGATAATATCTTTGTCTTAAAAGGTGAACTGGTCTTACTGGTCTGAGTTCAGTCACGTCCCAGCCCAGGTAATCAGCAGCTCGCATCATTTGGGTGATGATACGATCCACTTCCTGCAGGAGAGACAACAAGTTACTAAATTTGGAAATTTTTCAGTTTTCATGAGCGTGCAAACAGATCGTGAGACGAAATGACCAAAAAGTCAACAGCTGTGAGCTGAACATGCCAAATAAAAACAATACATATAATCAAATATGCTTTTATTTTTTGGATATACCACTTTTTTAAATTTACAGTCCTATCATTTAATTTCTGTATTAGAACATTATGTAATAAACTGTAAATTGGGTGTACTTCAAGTTATAAGCAGTTCGTTTACACAGAGGTATAAAAGTCTCATTTATACTCTGTGTCCTGTTTGAGTGACTGAGTGACTCACAGAACTGTCCAGGAGTCCGTTGCCATCTTTGTCRTAGAGTTTGAAGGTAACTAGAAGCAAACAAGCTCAGTTAGTGTCACTTCTAGTSTTTTTGGGATGAATTATTGATCAGAGAGATGAGTGCAGATTAAAAAGATGAAACGAAACCAACATTCGAGCTTCTCACGCGGCTGCCCCTCCTCCAGCACTGAGAAGTAACAGGATACGTCCTGGAGAAACACCCTCCCTGAAAATGAGGACATCCTTTGAACCAACAAACTTTTATTACGTTACACGTGTCCAGAACAGAACAAGCCTCTACAAGAAAAACTCAAACTATCTGCATATTCCTTTCTCAAAGCCCCGAGGCTCCCACTCGTACATTAGCAGGACAGCAGAACTTGTTTTCCTCCTCGCCCACTTTGGTGACTGAGTTCAAATGACTGCAGGGATTGAAAATATTTTACCTCCTTTGGGCAGAGGGCTGTTTGTCGACCCATCCTGCTCAGTGTGTTGAAAATAACAAAAAAGACGTTTGCAGAAATCTGCAGGGAAGTCCTCCACCTCCAGGTAGGTTTTCAGGAAGAGACAGAAACCCTCGCTGTCGAGGCACTGAGGAGAGAACGGATCAGTGACTGACAGGATCACTCATTCTGGTTCACCAGGTCTAAAATTAATCAACAATTACCTGAAAGCATCCAAAAATGTGATTGAAAACCCAAAAGCAAGAAAAAAAAAACAAGTGGTAAAGTGGATATGGATGACCAAAAGCACAAATACTGTATATTAAAGCACACTTTATAAGCAGCATATCAGCATGTGTATATCCTAAACTAAAACTGCTTCTCTCGTTCAGATGAGTGGTACTGTGTGAGCGGTCCTGTTGCCGGGGGATTAAAGATGTTTTATGCTCAATATATGTAAAGTGACAAAGTTGCAGTCATGGTGGCATGTGATAATGACACTTTTGTGGTAGCATGGTGGTGCTGAGGCTTTAAAGTGCCTGTGACATGCATATACTTCAAATACAATAAGTCAAAGAAAACATCTTTATATTTAAGAAGCTTGGCATAATATACATGATTTTCCCTATTTTGTCCCATAACTGGCAGATTTTCTTTTGAACTTGGCTCTGCTAARGTGAAACATCAAAGGGGAACTCTTTAAAAAAGGGAACTCTCTACTTGAACTCTGACACTTCTTCATCTCTGATAGTGATTAAAAACAATCTAAAGAAATGTCGGGTTCTTCTCTACAGTCGGTGTTGTTAGCTGTTGGAGCTGTGTTCTGTTTGCATGCAGAGATTCCCATTTGACATCACTTCCTGTCACTTCACATGCCAACATATCAACAATTGTTTCCTCTCAGTGGCGTGAATTTTGTTTCGCAATATGTCCTCAACGTTTTCTTCCCAAAAATGCTTTATTTGTTACAAAAAATTGATGTCACAGGCACTTTAAAAAACTGTCCTCCCGATGTTTGTTGTCAGAACAAAATGTAATTTCAAAATGACATGATAGAAAAAAATCTTTGTATTTGGCTCATATAAGCTACCTCTCCATGAGTGTGCTTGGCCAGGCGACCTCCTGGATAAAAGTCCTTCATCACATCTTTCACCCTTAAACTGCTGTCTGCAGAGGAAAACAAAACATTAGCATTAACAAATGATTTGAATTAATGAATAAAAAAGAAGTAAATAATATCATGTAACTAAGTGAACCAAACTGATAAGTCTGGGTTTGGGTCTGAGCTAACACACACACGC